CACTAAGCTCAATTTGCTGCAGCAGTAACAAAATTTAACTTGGATGAAGACGACAAGATGACGAAGATAATGACATCGTATCTCAGAAAAAGACTTGAAAATTTTAAATTTGGAAGCCGAAGTGTTTGGGAACACCTCTCACAAATAGTACTAACAACACTTGATCCACTAGAATTGTGGTTTATTTAAAGGCGCTACAGCTTTTTCGCATAAACAGATTGCTCGGAATCAATTTTTGATAGATCTGGCGACATAGCCCAGCGTATCTGACACAAAGATTAAGACTTTATGTGAGAAGTGATCTAAAATTAACATGACATTAAGGCTGTGGAGCTAGAAAATTGAGGCAAAATGCGTATCACAAAGATTTGATATATGTGATAATTCGACTTGGCACAAGAACAGGACGCTATTGCAATAAAACATCTACCAAGTAAAGACGAGAGACTATTTAAGTGGTCGGTAAGCAAGCTACTTGGCTAAATGTATTAAGTAGCTACAATGGCGATATCACCAGTATTTGTGCATTTTTGTCCGATTTCATTCGATCAGTCAAATGATTCTCCAAACACCTTTATCAGTCCACGATTAAGCAACTGGAGAACAACCAGTTCCCAGTTATGAATCAATACTTCCGGAATGAAGAAATTCACGAAAGAACAATTGATAAATGAAGTTATACGTTGAGACAGAAAATTGACCACCGCATTTAGCCACAACCAATTTGCCACCATGTTATGATTTGACTTTTCCTTAATTTTCTGCATTAACGATAATTTTATCAGGACGACACGTTGAAAAAGGCTCGAAAAGTGTTCTGTACGGAGTAGAAAATGCTTGTTTAAGATAATTAAGAATGCTTTCATCTCGATTCAAGCAACTGTCTTACTAAATGCAACAAAGCTACGTCGGATGCTGATAATTAAGCTGAGCGCTGATCCAAATTCGAAGCATTCAGTAATATACTCAGCTAGCGTCGACCAAAAGTTGGATCCAGACTACGTTCTCTTCCAAGCTGGATTCAAGCCAGCGTTTTGTTCTTGGATGGATATTAAAACGTGAATTCCAGCATGACCCAGAAATTTTAAACTCGTCCAAGAAATATCCTCCATTGCTCCGAAAAGTTTTCCAGTACACCCCAGTTTGAAGAGGTATTGTTAGCCATACAATCCTTCAACAAGGCGTATCGAAGCGGATGCAGCAAAAGGCTTTCCTGTTGAATTTTGTGGGGATTTTGAGCATTGATACCTCTGTCTATGGTCAGAAAACTGAATAGATGTGTTTTTTGTCTGGGATGAAAAGTCTAATAGGTGGCGGGTGAAAAAAAAACTAAGCCCATTCGACTTATCTTTGCACTGCTAGAGAAATGTTTCCAAGATTCAGCGAGAGTTATACACTTCGCCATTATCATGTCACAAAGCTTTAATGAGACATGTGTGACAAATTTGGACCTGCAAGCACTTGTGAGCGCATTCCATCCCATATTAGGCATATGGTGTAAATGACAGCTTTCTCGAAAAATAAACTGGCAGACATGCCAGGTCAGCGCAAAAGTGTTTGTTATTTTTATTTCGACATTGGTCCAGCTGACTTGTATTTAAGGTCGAAAGTCCATGAATACAAGAAAGTTGTAGAAGCTAAGCGAGTATCTTCGCTTGGCAATCAAGCAGAGGCTCTAGAATTTCAAAAAGTGTTTTAACAGTGACGCGAATTAATGATTCGGTCTCAGATTTCATACTGCTTGAAACTATTGGAACATAGAGACAGCATGGTCCTTTTTTCCAAGCCACAAAGAGACTTATATTCATACCTTTTTCCAATTTTTTAGCTGCAACACAATCATTTTTCCAAACAAACTGATCCAGGTTGTGTAATTGTTGCTGTGGTTCCGAGGACGCCGAGTTGAATAAATGCGACGATAAGCTTATGAATTTTTCAAAAGAAGACACAACATTTTTAATTTTGAGCGCTCTTTCCGTTTGATGAAAACCAAGCATCGCTACTTTTCTCTCTAGACCAATGATATGGAAAATTCGCTGAAATTTGTGCGGCTTCAAGTGACTCATAACCGTATTACGTGACATCCATCGAGTCTTTCTCTTTGCTTTTATCTTTTCAAGATGCTGAAAATCGATCAAAGTGTTGGCTGCCGGAGCTACAGTCACCTTATTTCGGACGCGAAAAATGGGTGGATTTCGCACTCTATCTTTTGGTACGTCTGACAGCGATATATCCGCTCTGACTGGATTACGACATTCCTCTTCGAAATCTGTTTTTGAAATTTTGCAATCGGTGGTCTTCGAGTGCGGCGAGTAATTGAAACACAGGAATGATTCTTGATCGCCAAGAATGTCCGCGACAACAGTTGTTTGTCGGTTCTCAGAAAAAAATATCGTTTCACCTAGACTAATGAGTTCTCGCTCAACTATTTCTTCGATTGCTTGAGAGAATATCTGGCGGAATCGACAGGGCTAAATTGCATCAACATCCAAAAGATGAGCATTGTCTAAACATATGACTTACCAACATGGCGATTGAATTTGATTGCTGCATCGTCACGTCGTCGCACTTATCGTAATTGAAAGCAAAACGCTTTACAAGTCTTCTGTCGATGTCAAAACAATTTAGTATACTAGTTAAGGCAAGCACAGAAATTACGTTTATGACTTACTTTGCTACCTCAACGTTAAATTCTGGATGAGTAAAGAGTACCTGCAACATTACATTAAGTGACAATAGACACGCTCACAGATACGTGGTCTAACCACAAGAAGACTGCGGGATGGCGTGGTTGCTAGCACCATATTTTCGAGAGGCGTGGTGAACATAACGATCCCGGCGGTAATACATTCGTCCCTATCGAGAGCTGCATCAACTGCAACGCATTTTTTTGTTGGTCGAGTACTGCTGCCTGAGCATGATTTGGTATATGCACTTTTGTCTACTGATACTTTACTGTGTCGTACCTGCAAAGTTTTGCAGCGCATAAAGAAGTGCACTAAGGTTGAGACGCTCGGTCTTTGGATGCCTCCTATCAAAGTCATCAGAGAAAGATCTGGTATAGTGCAGAGCCCCTGAGGACATCTCAACCAACACTAAACCCTCCATAATTCCAAAGCAAACGAGGTCAGAGCAACACAATGTCGAACGCAAACGTCCAGACTGCCGTTTGCCAGTGCGTTGCAGCACCTTTGTTGCACGATAGCCGCCTTCGAATATATCAACAATCTAATGCATACCAACCGGTTAGCGTTATTTATTTCTCAGCTTTAACTCCAGCCTTAAATTACATGTAGCTCAGAGCTATTATGAAATGACTTGTCCAATCTATTCGGTATTTATGGAAGTGATGCGTACTTCACACAGCGAGGGGTTTCGCTTTCAACAAAGCGTCGCTATCAATTTGAGGCATTAACCACAACAGGAATCACTAACTTTTTGCTGCAGCAAACATCGTGATAACATGTCAAAAATTCAGCTTGTGGAGGCTCAAGCGCCGCCAACAGAAGTCGCAGTGTCCACAGATGACGTAAATTTCACCACCGTTAAGCCGCACAAATCGTCAACGACCAAGAAAAACGAATATCGAGTGCTCTGCTGCGGCAATTCTTGGCAGGATCTGCTGATTATTCCCTTGTGTATCATCGGGGTCTACGCTCTTCTTGGTGCTCTCTTTGCTTTGTGCACACGCTCAGTGTTGCAGACAGACGATACGAACACGGCGCTTTGGGTTTTCTTTGTCTTCTACGCTTTTTTCGTCTTTCTGCTGGCATCGGTATTGGGAACAGTAGCGTATAACCGTAAGATGCTCAAAGCGCACGAAAACGACGACCCAGAGAATCTATAAGCGTTTGAGTCTTCAATTCTGATGAAAGATGCGCTCAACTTGAAAAATTGTTGACTTTGCGTCCACGTTTTTAGTAAAGCTTAAGATCTTGGCCATTTCATCCCATTCATACACCAAATATACATCTTTGGGACATCTAAATTTCACTAAGATCTTAACATGCGTTTTATGTTTGGAGCACACGAATGTCGCGGTCTTTCGTTCGAAAATTTGTCCACTGCACTGATCGAGACGACGTTATCTCCACGTATGAAAAGCTGCTTCACGTACTCGCGTTTTGTTCCACCCACACTGAATAGTACTCGATGATTGCGCTGCCGATTAGCGGCGGAGAACACGTGATCACTTGCTGGTCGATTTCCCTTTTGAACTTCTCGCAGCAGCCTCGTGTAGTTTTGAAGCGGGATATACTCTTGACTCACATCCAAAAGCACGAGGTTCATGTGTTTATCAAAAGCCTTTAAGAATCCCGAACAAGTGCCACGGACGCTATTAATTCGTCTTATGACGACAAGAACTCTCAATCGTTCAAGGAAACAGCGACGAAGAACACGGAAAGGTCCGTCCAAATAGGTGTCTATCATACAAACAAGACCAAACCATGTTAAATATCCGTCAAAATAGCTTAAAGTCAAACCTTCATCTGTTGATTACCAGCAAGCTGTTCAAATAGCGACGGAGCGGCAGGAGATGATGTTTTTGAAGTTTTAATAGCTTTAGCTGTTGATGGACTCGCCTTATTTGGTCTTACAATGAGAGTTTGCCGATTCACATCTGACTTTGGTAGCTAAAGAAAAGTGATTTGATCTGTCAAATTTTTAGCGCTGTGCAGTTTTAGCTTAACAAACGTACCAAATGCCGGCACTTTTGAATATTATCCAGTGGATAAGCCGTGGGTACTGGAAGCTCTAGCAGCCTTCTAGGTGTTTGTAAGGCCTTAAGTGCATCAAATTGTTTCGATCGAAAGTCCAGCGAAGTAGGTGTGGCCTTGACCAACGGATACGGCTTGAAATCGCTCTGGTACGCGGCATACGAGTATATTACTGCATCTGTTGTCTTGCTTACATCATCTTGATCAGTAGAAACATCACCAAACGTAAGATCAGGTGCTTCTCCATACTTCTTAAGAAGTTTCGCGCACAGCTGACGCTCTCTACCGGCGAATTTTCGCACAATCTCGGCGCTGAAGAGACGAAAAATAAGTCAGCTTTACCTAGATAAGGGGAGTGCTACAAGGGTAGTACGGATATCCTTGTACAAGTTTGCAGACATACATGTTTTGGTCATTGTCCGGGTTGTGCTTGGTGTAGAAGGCGCGCAAGCGCGCCTCCATCAACTTAGCGTCCATGAGCAACGTGATGTGTCACACATCAACAAACTTCGATATGGCTGAGCTGCCAGCGCTGTCCGAAGCACGGAAGCTAAAGCTGCAATTGTTCCACCGCTTGCAACGCACCAACTGCAATGCATGGGAACGCTACTGGGGCTCATTTCGATTATATTTGGTGGCTAAGCTCTCGCATAAAGAGTTTCATGCGGTAGCCGAGGAGCTGCTGGGACCTAACAAACGTACGTATTCAGCTTGAGTTGTCGAGCTTTATGTACTTACATCCTCGTCATTTCAGATCTGCACAATGAATTTGTAGTCGCGTTGCTGAGCACAGCGTGTCACGAGAACGAGAACGAAAATAAAAAAAAAAATAATCTGCAACCTCATCTTGCGCAGCAAATAGAAAAGCATAGCGAAGAGGGAAATTTGGCAGCCAAAAGAGATGACACTTCTATGATACTTGATGACGTCTCGCTACTGGACTTTAAGTGTGCTAAGCAAGAAAGGTCCGAAAGTGGTAGGTCCTCCTCTTTTTCTACGAAACTACATTGTTTTACAGAGTAGTTGGAGATTTTGAGCAGCAACGGATTTCGTATAATAAGGTCGGACGCAAACGATCATATAGCACTACTGCATCGTATAATAAGG